TCCGCCTGCGGCCTTCATATTCGGTTCTTATTATAAAATCCTTCGTGATTAATTCTTTTTGGCCATAGCCAGGCAATCTTCCAGTGTGGGCAGCAGAATGTCCCACATGAAAAAACCCGTACCCTTAATAACTCTTTGGGGTTTTATCCCCAGGGACAAAAGTGATTTGATCACAGTGTCTTTTGTGGAGCGACAAATCTTTCGGTTTTTCTTGTCGACCACAAAAACGGTCACCATTCTCTTTGAGAACATATCGAGCTCCCGGACATCATCGACGAACCCATCTTTATTAACAAGATGGGCGTAACTTTCGCCTTATCCAGGAAATCCGCCATGTTCAAAATACAACTAGGGGACTTCAGCAAGAGGGCAACTCCTCTTTCGTCTTATTTTGCGCCTCTTTAGGCACTTGGTCTAGTTTAGAAGCATCTCCTTTTTTGGAGATGCTCTTGTCTGTTTTTGGGCTTCCATCAGCCCGCTTTTCAGTTTTCTTTTTCAGAGTGGTCGGCTTTATTTGCCGAACCAAACAGGTCTTTTTCACATTCGCCTGACTATTGCCGTCGGCCATGTTGTAAAAAAAAGTGGACACTACCACCTGCGGGTTTTCAAATTCTTCACAATCACGGGGAGAGGAGTTGAGGAAAATATAAAAATATAAAATAAATAAAAAAGCCTGGATAACCCAGGAAATATAAAGATAAACAAAAAAAAAAACCGGAAAGAAAATAAACAGGTAAGTCTTTTTTAAACAAAAAAAAAAAAAAAAATAAATAAATAAATAAATAAATAAAATAAAATAAAAATGGCGCCCAAAGGCAGCCGAAAATAAAAAAAAAACCAAAAACTTCCTCTTTTTTCACAAAAACTTTCAAATGTACTAAAAAAAGAATAAAAAAATAAAGTTTTAGGCTGACGCCGCTAAAAGAAAATGAATTAAAAAAAAAATAAACTAGTCAAACGTAAACAAAAAAGGAGAAAGAAAGCGACTGAAGTCGCTAAAAAAAAAAAAAAAAATTAAACAAAAAGGTTCTTTTTTTTTTTTCTTTTGTCTAAACTGTCCGTTTTTTTTTTTTTTTTAACTGATAGAAAAATAAACAAAAATAAAAAAAAGCAGTCGTCCGGTAAGACTTTGTCAAACGGACTAAAAAAAGAAAAAAAAAAATGTGGGCGAAGCCCAAAAACAAATTAAAAACAAACAAAAGAAATAGAAAAAATTAAAAAAGAATGAAACTAAAACAATAACTTATCAGCCAAACGTCCGGTGTTTAAAAAAAAAAGGTTCTTCCAAGTCGTCAAGCAAATCAAAATTTTTCGCCGACCAGCAGTAACAGCAGTACACAAAAAAAATCCAAAAGCAAACAAAACAGAAGTCAAAAACCAGTCCAAACCTGATCCTCGCACAACACAACTACTCTCTCTAGCACTGACTTATATTGTAGAGGGATAAATCCATTATCAGACAGAAGGTGGGTGCACCCCAACAGCATGGTAGTAGGATTCAGATACTTTCTAGAATGGTACAAGGAACCATCTATTTTTCCATCATCTTTAGCAATGGATCATGAGTTCCACCTGAGGTCTGGAGTGAACTTGTGTCCCAACAGATGTTCAAAGCAAGAAACCTCTTTGAGAGTGCAATCATTCACCATGACTAGTTAGCTCTGAAATAGTGAAAAGTAACTACGTTGATTTTTAAAGTATTGAAAGTTACAAGCCAGTTTCCTTCATTCGGCTGTTAGAGCAAGTTCACGTGAGAGATCAGATGCCAGACTTGTTGACGACAAATTCAAAGAGTTGGCTGATGACACTATGAAGAATGAAAGGTTGATACTGACATAGGGGGATGAGCCCCTCCCCCACAACATTCTTGAAGACAGTGAAGGCAGTAGATATCTTCTATATACTTGGGAAATATTTTTCAATCAAGTAGCAATTAAACACCTTTGCTAAAATCAGGGATGACTCAGCCATTTCCAAATTTCTGGCAGAGTGAATTGTGTCATGGTGCTCTTTTTTCACAGATGCTGCCCAGCTGACCCTAATACACTGTGCAGTTGACAAAATCAAAAACAAACAATGTGCAAAATTAAAAATATAAATTGGCGACAATTTAACCATCGCACCCTATCTATCTATCTATATATATATATATATATATAAATATGTGTGTATATATATATATATATATATAGAGAGAGAGAGAGAGAGAAGGAGAGACAGACAAGTTTTGTCTATTTATTTTAAGTAAGTTCCTTTCATATTGTCTGATAAGCTTAATAACATTATCATTGAAAGATGAAAGGAAATCACCATATTGATGTTTAAATCCAATCTAAGCTTTCAGCTTACATAAGCCATTATCAAAGATGACAATTACTTTTCAATATTCTTAAATTCTTAAATTTATTCTTAAATGCCTATAATTGATAACAGAAGCCATTGGTTTATACAAGAGTGAAAACGAGAAGTATTAAGTATGGGAATCCATTGGTATAAACCAATGACTTCCCATACTTAATACTTTTTGTTTTCACTCTTGTGTGGTCATGTGTGATGTCACGATCAGTGACGCGATTTTCATTTCCGCATCTCATATACACAATTTTGTCGTTGCTTTAAAATTTTTCATGCAACAAAAACAGACTATCATTATTGTTTTGTCTGTGTATTGGTTGCTATATTGAAAAGTAATTGTCATCTTTGATAATGGCTTATGTAAGCTGAAAGCTTAGATTGGATTTAAACCTGTATGAATATGGTGATTTCCTTTCGTCCTTCAATGATAATCTTATTAAGCTTATCAGACAATATGAAAGGAACTTACTTAACATCAATAGACGCAACTTGTCTATATTATTTAATGAAACATGCATCAATGAAAAATTGCTGCCTAAATATACACAACATATATATATATATATATAATGAATTGGACTAAATCTGACCAACAATTATTTAAATATATCTTCTGTTTATATGTTATTTTTATAGATACATTTATTTAAGTAAATGCTCTGTTTATAATAAACAGTATTAATTACATTTACCAGCCTGAATGTCTGGAAATTTTGTAGAAAATGTGTCTGCCAACAGGAATTGAACCTGTATCCTAAATGGAACTGTCATGCTGTACCATTTAGCTACAGAGGAAGCATCTGGTTAGTTAAGTCAAATTACTGTTTATTATATTTATATATAAAGCAAGAGAAATACAGCATTTTTATATATGTGTATTATTTATTCATAATTGCCATTGGACAGATAGCAAAACAACCTCAAGTTTTCTTTATTTTCTGTTTTGACTTCAGTGTTCCTGATGTCAATAAGTGCTTTTGCTCTCTTCTCTGTTTTTGTCTCTAAATGGCTAACAATTGCAAGAGAATAAAGGCACTGGCAAGTTTTGAAAGATTGACTTAGATTTATTTCTCATCGAATATTTTTCTTTGGGGAAGTGGAGAGGCTTATTGTTTGAAAGACTGAGAATGAGCTGAATTTCTTTTGGGCTCTAATTGCAGTTTGTTTATATTGGATCTCAGAAGTGGGAATCACACCAGATATGATCTCTAATTGTGGAAAATGAAGAAAAGAGTGGGAAGAAAAAGAGCAAAAGAAAGAAAGAAGGAAAAAGATAAAGATAAAGAAAGAAGAAAAAGAATGTAGAAAAAAGTTAACAAGATGAAGAAAGAAAAAAAGGGAATTAGATGAAGAAAGAAGAAAAAGATATAACAAATGAAGAGAAGAAGATAATGAAAAGAAAGGAGAAAGAGAATAGGATAAAGAAAGATGAAAAGAGAGAATAAAATAAAAAAAAAAGATAAATTGAAGAACGAAGAAAAAGAGAATAAGATAAAAAAGAAGAAAAAACAATGAGATAAAGAAAGAAAACCAAAGAGAATAATGAAAAAAGAAAAAAAGCAAAAGATATAAAGAAAGAAGGAAAAAGAGAAAAAGAAAAAGAAGAAAAAGAGAATAAGATAAAAAAGAAGAAAAAACAATGAGATAAAGAAAGAAAACCAAAGAGAATAATGAAAAAAGAAAAAAAGCAAAAGATATAAAGAAAGAAGGAAAAAAAAAAAAAAAAAGAAGAAAAAGAGAATAAGAGATAAAAAAGAAGAAAAAAAACAATGAGATAAAGAAAGAAAAAAACAAAAGAGAATAATGAAAAAAGAAAAAGCAAAAAGATATAAAGAAAAGAAGGAAAAAGAAAAAGAAAAAGAAGAAAAAGAGAATAAGATAAAAAAGAAGAAAAAACAATGAGATAAAGAAAGAAAACAAAAGAGAATAATGAAAGAAGAAAAATGCAAAAGATATAAAGAAAGAAGGAAAAAGAGAAAAAGAAAAAGAAGAAAAAGAGAATAAGATAAAAAAGAAGAAAAAAAATGAGATAAAGAAAGAAAACCAAAGAGAATAATGAAAAAAGAAAAAAGCATAAGATATAAAGAAAGAAGGAAAAAGAGAAAAAGAAAAAGAAGAAAAAGAGAATAAGATAAAAAAGAAGAAAAAAAATGAGATAAAGAAAGAAAACCAAAGAGAATAATGAAAAAAGAAAAAAGCAAAAGATATAAAGAAAGAAGGAAAAAGAGAAAAAGAAAAAGAAGAAAAAGAGAATAAGATAAAAAAGAAGAAAAAAAATGAGATAAAGAAAGAAAACCAAAGAGAATAATGAAAAAAAAAAAAAAGCAAAAAGATATAAAGAAAGAAGGAAAAAGAGAAAAGAAAAGAAGAAAAGAATAAAGAAAAAAGAAAAAAAAAATGAGATAAAGAAAGAAAACCAAAGAGAATAATGAAAAAAGAAAAAAGCAAAAGATATTAAGAAAGAAGGAAACAGAGAATGACATAAAGAAGAAAAAGAATGTAGAAAAAGGTAACAAGATGAAGAAAGAAAAAAAGGGAATTAGATGAAGAAAGAAGAAAAAGATATAACAAATGAAGAGAAAAAGATAATGAAAAGAAAGGAGAAAGAGAATAGGATAAAGAAAGATGAAAAGAGAGAATAAGATCTAAAAAAAAGATAAATTGAAGAACGAAGAAAAAGAGAATAAGATAAAGAATGAAGAAGATAAGATAATAAAGAAACGTGAAAAAAGAAAATAAAAATAAGAAAAGAAAAAGAGAATAAAGTAAAGAGAAGGAAAAGGGAAAGAAATGATGAAAGAAGAAAAAACAATAAGATAAAGAAAAAAGAGAATAAGATGAAGAAAGTAGAAAAAATGAGATAATGAAAGAAGAAAAAATAAAATAAGATACTGAACAAAGAAAAAAGAGAATAAGTTTAAGAAAGAAAAAAAGATAAGGGAAATATAAAAAAGAGAATATAAAGAAAAAAGAAAATAACATAAAGAAAGAAGAAAAAGAGAATAAGTTATAGAAAGTAGAAAAAGGGAATAAGATAAAGAAGAAAAAAAGAATAAGATAATGAAAGAAGTATCAAGAAAAAATAAGGTAAAGAAAGTAGAAAGAAAAGAATAAGATAATGAAAGATGAAAAGATAAGAAAAAGAAAGTAGAAAAATAGAAGAGGTCAAAGAAAAAAAGAATAAGACAGAGAAAGAAAACAAAAGAAAGATAATAAAAGAAGAAAAGGATAAGATAAAGAAAGAAAAAAAGAAAATAAAAAAGAGAAAAAAGATAAATAAAGGAAAAAGAGAATAAGATAAAGAAGAAAAAGAGAATAAGATAAATGAAGGAAAAAGAGAATAAGATAAAGAAAGGAAAAAGAGAATAAGATAAATGAAAGAAAAAGAGAATAAGATAAATGAAGGAAAAAAGAGAATAAGATAAATGAAGGAAAAAGAGAATAAGATAAATGAAGGAAAAAGAGAATAAGATAAAGAAAGAAGAAAAAAGAGAATAAGATAAATGAAGGAAAAAGAGAATAAGATAAAGAAAGGAAAAAGAGAATAAGATAAAGAAAGAAGAAAAAAGAGAATAAGATAAATGAAGGAAAAAGAGAATAAGATAAAGAAAGGAAAAAGAGAATAAGATAAAGAAAGAAGAAAAAAGAGAATAAGATAAAGAAAGAAGAAAAAAGAGAATAAGATAAATGAAGGAAAAAGAGAATAAGATAAAGAAAGAAGAAAAAAGAGAATAAGATAAATGAAGGAAAAAGAGAATAAGATAAAGAAAGGAAAAAGAGAATAAGATAAAGAAAGAAGAAAAAAGAGAATAAGATAAATGAAGGAAAAAGAGAATAAGATAAATGAAAGAAAAGAGAAAAGAAAAGAAAGATAAGAGAAAAGATAAAGAAAAAAGAGAATAAGATAAATGAAGGAAAAAGAGAATAAGATAAAGAAAGAAAAAAAAAGAGAATAAGATAAATGAAGAAAAAAAAGAGAATAAGATAAAGAAAGGAAAAAAATAAGAGAATGAAGATAAAGAAAGAAGATAAAGAAATGAAAAAAGAGAATAAGATAAATGAAGGAAAAAGAGAATAAGATAAAAGAAGGAAGAAAAAGAGAAAAATAAAGAAAAAAGAATAAGAGAAAAGAAAGAAGAAAAAAAGAGAATAAGATAAATGAAGGAAAAAGAGAATAAGAAAAAAAGAAGAAAAAGAGAATAAGATAAAAAGAAAAAAAGAATAAGATAAATGAAGGAAAAAGAGAATAAGATAAAGAAAGAAAAAAAAGAGAATAAGATAAATGAAGGAAAAAGAGAATAAGATAAAGAAAGGAAAAAGAGAAAAGAATAAGAAAAAGAATAAGATAAAGAAAAAAAAGAGAATAAGATAAATGAAGGAAAAAGAATAAGAATAAAAAAGAGAAAAGAAACGAAAAAAGAGAATAAGATAAATGAAAAAAAAGAAGATAAAAAAGAGAAAAGATAAATGAAAAAAAAAAAGAGAATAAGATAAAGAAAGAAGAAAAAGAGAATAAGATAAATGAAGGAAAAAAAGAGAATAAGATAAATGAAGGAAAAAAAGAATAAGATAATAAAGAAAGAAAAAAAAAGAGAATAAGATAAATGAAAAAAAAGAGAATAAGATAAAAGAAAGAAGAAAAAAAGAGTATAAGATAAAGAAAGAAGAAAAAAAAGAGAATAAGATAAATGAAAAGGAAAAAAGAGAACGAAAAAATAAAGTAAAGAAGAAAAAAAGAGAATAAGATAAATGAAGGAAAAAAGAGAATAAGATAAAGAAAGAAAAAAAAAGAGAATAAGATAAATGAAGGAAAAAAAAGAGAAGAAAGATAAAGAAAGGAAAAAAGAGAATAAGATGAAGGAAAAAGAAAGAAGAAAAAGAGAATAAGATAAAGAAAAAGAAAAAAGAGAATAAGATAAAGAAAGGAAAAGAGAATAAGATAAAGAAAGAAGAAAAAGAGAATAAGATAAATGAAGGAAAAAGAGAATAAGATAAAGAGAAAAGAAAATGAAAAAAGAGAATAAGATAAATGAAAGGAAAAGAGAATAAGATAAAGAAAGAAGAAAAAAAAGAATAAGATAAATGAAGGAAAAAGAGAATAAGATAAAAAAAAGGAAAAGAGAATAAGATAAAGAAAGAAGAAAAAAGAGAATAAGATAAAGAAAGAAGAAAAAAGAAGAATAAAGAGGAAAATGAAGGAAAAAGAGAAAAAGATAAAGATAAAGAAGAAAAAAGAGAATAAGATAAATGAAGGAAAAGAGAATAAGATAAAGAAAGGAAAAAGAGAATAAGATAAAGAAAGAAGAAAAAAGAGAATAAGATAAATGAAAGAAAAAGAGAATAAGATAAAGAAGAAAAAGAGAATAAGATAAATGAAGGAAAAAGAGAATAAGATAAAGAAAGGAAAAAGAGAATAAGATAAATGAAAGGAAAAAAAGAATAAGATAAATGAAGGAAAAAGAGAATAAGATAAATGAAGAAAAAAGAGAATGATAAAGAAAGGAAAAAGAGAATAAGATAAAGAAAGAAGAAAAAAGAGAATAAGATAAATGAAAGAAAAAGAGAATAATATAAAGAAAGGAAAAAGAGAATAAGATAAAGAAAGAAGAAAAAAGAGAATAAGATAAATGAAGGAAAAAGAGAATAAGATAAAGAAGAAAAAGAGAATAAGATAAATAAAGGAAAAAGAGAATAAGATAAATGAAGGAAAAAGAGAATAAGATAAATGAAGGAAAAAGACAATAAGATAAAGTAAGAAGAAAAAAGAGAATAAGATAAATGAAGGAAAAAAAAGAATAAGATAAAGAAAGGAAAAAGAGAATAAGATAAATGAAGGAAAAAGAGAATAAGATAAAGAAGAAAAAGAGAATAAGACAAATAAAGGAAAAAGAGAATAAGATAAATGAAGGAAAAAGAGAATAAGATAAAGAAGAAAAAGAGAATAAGACAAATAAAGGAAAAAGAGAATAAGATAAATGAAGGAAAAAGAGAATAAGATAAAGAAAGAAGAAAAAAGAGAATAAGATAAATAAAGGAAAAAGAGAATAAGATAAAGAAAGGAAAAAGAGAATAAGATAAAGAAAGAAGAAAAAAGAGAATAAAATAAATAAAGGAAAAAGAAAATAAGATAAAGAAAGAAAAAAAGTGAATAAGATAAAGAAAGAAGATAAAAACATTATATACTCTGATTATTTTTTTATAGCTTTGTTTTAGTTCTTTAATACAAAAACACATTGTAGGAGGTTGATTCTGGTACCCAGTAATCCCAAGTGATATCCCTTCTAAGTACTGAACAGGCTTGGTGCTGCTTAACTTTGGTGATTGAACAGGAACTAATGTTTTCAATGCAAGAATATATATAAAAGAGAACAAAAGAGTAAAAAAAAAGTAAAGCAAAGGCAAAAAAATGCAAGTAACTAATAAAAATCAATAATAGGAGAAAAAAAAGTGTGATGGGAAAAGGCAGATGAAGGTAGAGCGTATTTTGTAGCCAATGGAAATATGAGAATACTGATTAATTTGATTGGTTATAAAAGAAGATATGTTCGACATTGCAAGTTTAAGCCTTGACTTGGTATATTTTACTGTGGACCAGTATATTCAAAATTAGACTTCCTCTGGATAAATCAAAAATGTAATATAAATCAACTGCTTTCAGGATATTTGTGCAAATAATGCAAACAGAGTTTACACTGGGTTACAATTATTATATAATATACAATGAAATTGATATATATATATATCTTAAATCAGCACTTGAATATTGTCTTATACACGAAACTCAGAGTTGTGCTACTGGTGAGAAAACATATATTTATTATTATTAATATATATTATATTTAGAAAAATATAACAAACTGGAATGGTTATTTTGTGATGTGTTTCATCCAACAGGATTTCATTGGACTGGGCTTTGATGATGTTACAACATCTACACATTCACATAAAACAAGAGACACAGGTAGTTTCAATTATCATTATATCATATATATATATATATATATATATATATATATCAAACCGGACTCATAAATAATTACATCGGCTACACAACCACATGCTTATCCAGACGTCTTATGTTACACCTATCTGATCACAGCTCCATCAGAACCCATTTAAACACACACTCAGATTTACCCGACACCATTAGGAACATACTAGTAGAAAACACAAATATATTAACTGCATCCACTTCCAAAAAAAGATTAAAAATAATGGAAGCTCTAATAATAAAAAAGAAAAAGCCAACTCTTAACAGTATTAACTACGAACACGGCCACAATGTGCTAACCGTATTCGGAAATTAAAAACATCCCTACCACACACTGATACATACACAGAATGCACACACTCAACTAAGCTGAAAATCAAATCATCCTTGATAATGGCTAAAGGTATAGCCGAAAGCACTCGGAAATAAAAAAACATTCGGACAGTTCTTACACACTCTTTGTCCAGAAAAGAAAGCTCTTCTCAGAACGAAAGAAAAATTAAATAAAAAGTTCAACCGTAGTATGTTGTCTGTCATTTTTAACGAAACATTCATAAAGGAAGGATTGCTGCCTAAATATACATATATATATATATATATATATATATATATAGCCACAGGCAGCCTGTTTTGCTGTATCATAGCTTGTCAGTGTGGTTAGACATCTGATTGCTTCAAGCCAAGATTGAAAATCAACCGATTTAGCATCAGTCAGAGACTCTATTCCTAAGCTATCAGCACACAGGAAAGAAATGGAATATTTTAAGGTATTATATACGTGATGTACATAAATGGCAGACCAGCAGTCAGAGTGCTCAATTTTGACAAAGAGCTATGCATTAAGCAGGAGGAACAGCTGTTAAAAATTCTCTTACTCCATAGTACTCAATCTATCTATCTATCTATCTATATATATATATATATATATATATATATATATATATATATACATATATTGTGTACATTTAGGCAGCAATTTTTCATTGATGCATGTTTCATTAAATAATATAGATAAATTGCTTCTATTTATTTTAAGTAAGTTCCTTTCATATTGTCTAAGCTTAATAACATTATCATTGAAAGACAAAAACAAATCCCCATATTGATACATGCTTAAATTCGATCTAAGCTTTTGGCTTACATAAACCATTATCAAAGATGACAATTACATTTCAATATATCAAACAATACACAGATAAAATAATAATGATAGTCTGTTTTTGTTGCATGAAAAATTTCAAAGCAATGACAAACTCATGTATACGAGACGTGGAAGTGAAAATCACATCATAGCTCGTGACATCACACATGACCACGCGTGAGTGAAAACGAGAAGTATTAAGTATGGAAAGCCGTTGGTTTCACAACGCTTGACTCTACATTTGAATGATAACTCTAACATTTTTAGGCATTTAAAACAACATGCCTGGCCGCGTACACAATTCCGGAAAATCCTCGTTGAAAACACAACTATACTTAAACATGAAAACAATAAACAAAAACTAAAAATTCTTGAAGCTATATATATAAAACAGTTGAAACCTAACCTGAACAAAATAAACTATGAAATCTCCACAAATATTCTTAAATGCCTATAATTGATAACAGAAGCCATTGGTTTTTCAAATCCAAATGACAAAAACTTTTACTAAATAGCATTTTTTTTCTTCTTTTCCACCTTGTCTTTAGAGCAATGATGTCTTCTTAGACTTTCATGTCAGCAGCGTGTTGACCCTCATCTGCCTTATAAATTTGTTGAAAATTGCTTGGTTTGGAAAATTGACTCAAACCTTGCATTCACCAATAGAATTAATTGATTGGATGTATTTCTAGTGACAGCAAAGACCTCGAGTGTCAGCCTAATCCACACCTCAGTGCAAGGAACTATTTATTTGCAAGTAAGCTGCTCTGTTCTTGGAAGTGAATTTTCAAGCTTGGCACATTCAAAAAGAACTATTCCTCTGATCACTTCTCAGAGGACATACATTGAAATCCAAGTTTATATATATATATGTGTGTGTGTGTGTGTGTGTGTGTGTGTGTATATATCAGGCCATGTACATTAATTCAGGTAAATTTGAATTTATTTCTTCTTGTATTTAACACTTATATTAGGAAATTTTCAAGAGAAAACTTTACTTACAATAAACTGAAAATTCAAGCCAATATAGTTATATTATTTGGACTGTTATCCTCATCTTTATTGCCATATTCATGATGTTTCAGCCATTATATGCCATGACCTTTTTAAAGTGATTGGAATTTTGAACTGAACCCTTTATTTCATCCACCAGGTAGATTGTTCTATTTCCACATGCCATGCCTCTTCCAGGTGGCTCTGTTATCTCCCTTTAACTCAACTCTCTATATTTTTGTTCCCACTGCAGTAGCCAATTATTGAACTCACAACTCTTTGGATCAAGTCACTGGATCCAACCAGTGCTTTTATACACTGGGCTATGTATCTTTGAGCAATTTTTGTGAATTATAAAATTAATGTCACAGTAATCTTTTTTTTTCCAGAGCTCATATTGCAATTTTGTTGTTATTATTGCGTTTCTCTAGCATTCCGTATTACTGGTTCCCATATTGTATTTATTTCTATGCTTGGCCCACTTAAGAGATTTTTGTAGTCTAGCGCATTTGCTGATTCCTTAAGTTTTTGTATTTTCTAGTGAACTAGAACAATCTACCCTACTGGACAAAATAAAGGGTTCAATTCTAAATTTCAATCACCTGAAGAAGTCCGGAGTGTACAATGTTTGAAACATCATGAATATGTCAATAAAGATGAGGACAATGCTCTGAACTATGTAAATAATGTATCAGGGTATGGCAACCTATTGCCCATGTGCCACACATGGAACGCCAAGCAATTTCCAATGACACACAGCCACAAATGATATCATGAAGTCTGAACCAATAACAACTACAACGCAAAGAAGATATTTCGCTGTTTTAATTTTAATTTATACTAAAGTATATATACTATATATTACTATATAAAATATATTTTAGAACAGGTATATTGACCTTGACTTGTATAAAAATACGTATGCTGTTGGCACATTGAATGATTTTAAGACCCTAAGTCGGCATAGAGTTAGCAAAAGGCTGCTGACCCCTTCCCTATAGATCTTAGTAAAATTTGTCATTTCACCATCCTCCACTTCCTGTTCTGACTTCCATTGAGACAAGCTTGTCAGGTAGGTGACTCATTTTTTCCCTGTCCCTCTTGCCTTCCAGATGTCCTGTGAGTATCAAATTCTCCAAGCTCTCCTTTCTCATTATGCTTCTAAGAATTCTCAGCTTTCACTTTCTGATGCTAAGTGTCCCTAACGTTTCCTACTTCATTGCATATGTGCTCCATCCATGGAATTCTCAGTATCTGTCTGTAGAACTACATTCTGTTTTCTCTTCATCTGTGAGGAGATTGCCCAGCATCCACTGCCATTTAGGATGATTGATATTATATAGCAGTTTAATGATCCTTTGCTTCTAATGAATTTCTCCTGTTTCTTAGTACTTAATATCCATCGGTATATGAGAAGATCTGATGGAACTGCTCAGCATATCTTGTTGTGACTTTTGAAGTCTATAGCTGCCGACTTTATTTTCATACTTGAGATATAAATTTTTTTTAAGCAATTAATGGAGGTTTAATTTGTGATTATTTCTTAGAAATATAAATATTTTATTTTATTATAATTCAAAAATGTATTTTTCCTATTTGATAGTTTACCTTGTTTCCAAAGAGTTTAAGTCTGTCTTGCCCAGCCAAGAGGTTGAACTCAAAACTGAGTAGTACTAAGTAAGAAAACAAGAGATCCCTTGACATGTTCACATGTTTGAGGCGACCCCTGGTCATTTTTTAAATTGGCCCATGTTGAAACTTGACTATTGCGTGGAATAATAATGCAACACAAAATGTACTTAGAACAAAATGTATTGAAACAAGAAAGTGTACACAATATTTACATATAGTCTTTTGTATATTCCTGGTAAGACCGTTCCTGGAGAATGTGTTGACTGAGTCACAGTCGGGCAGAGTCTCTGGTTGAATCTCTTGATTCCTCCCTCTCTTCCCGGTACCAACCATATTTATATAGTCGGTACTCCACTATGCAAATTAGGTGGATCCTACCACAACAGCCCAAAAAAAGAACTTGTTTTGTATTTTAAATA